CCTTTCTGTAAAAAAATCAATAAAAATATATTTTAAAAAATATATTGAACAAACTGCCATTATGAAATCCATTCTAATTAAGCAAACATCTAAATAATCTTAATGTTATAATAAAGACACATTACAAGTATTAAAGGCAATTCATGAATTGGGTGTTGAAGGCTGGGGTGATTTTGCTGGGCTTGGAAAAAAAGGGAATGCATTCCAGGTTGATGGATTAATTTATGTGGCAGTATCAATGCTTGGTTATTAGCAATATATTTATCCATTTACAAATATAATTTTATACCCATTGTGTTCAAATTTCTGTGAAGGTCCCTGTCTATGTCCCAGTCTTTCTCTATGTGTATGGAAAAAATAGTATGATATACCCCAAGGATTGTTGTAAAGTAATACCTGGCACATAATAAATGTTAGCGGTGCTGAAGATGTTGATTGTCAGTTACAGTGAGGGCTACACACTTCTTTAAGACATCACCTCTGATATCACTATACTTCAGCATCGTGTTGGGGAATTATAGGTAAACATAAGTAAACTCAAATGTGGACTAAATGTGCTAGAAATGCAGCACAGTTTGGTGTCATTTGCTAAATGGATAAGGGAGAGCAATGACTAGAAATTTTTGAATAGCAAATGAGAGGATCAGTATGGGATTTAGGAGAGATTAATTTGGTGGCCATGTTGACAAAGAGATGAGGTGTGGAAGAAATAATGGGGAGAAGGGGTAACCATATTTCCTTAGAAAACATAAGCCTACCCTGCCAGGGTCTGGTCTCAGTATCAGAGAGAGAGCCATACAATGTGATCTGGACTACAAGTGGAGGTGACTTTGATTGGAGTCTTGAGGCTAACTAGGACACTTTTATGTACTTTATACATAATCCTCACTCCAGCTGTCTGAGGTTACATAATAGAAGTTGAATTTCCGTGGGGAGATGTGGGTAGTGAGTGCACTATGGCCCAGAAGAGCAGATGCTGATAGAAACAGGGAAAGAATGGTTAGAGATATGTATAAATAAAGAATTGGAAATGGCATGGAAGCCAGGGGAATATTCACTTGTGGGTGAGTGAGGTTGTGATCAGATCCTGTACAAGTAATGCAGAAGAGCGATAAACCAACTAGCGTGAGCTATCATTTTAGAAAACGTATTAGTTGAAGAGTGTGGGAAAGTGTGTTGTAGCTTGCAGGGGAGAAAAGAGCCAAGGGAATGTTCTTATAGTACTGAGACCTATGGGCACCTGGGGGAAAGCTCTTCCTCTGAGCTGGGAGAAAAGGAAGAGAAGATTGGTTAAAACTGAGACCTTCGGACAGTTGGTTGGGCAGGTGGAAAGAGTGTTAGGAAGGAGTGGTCATTTACTCTGAGAGGAGTTTGTAGAATTAGTTTAGAACAGTCTCTGAGTGTGTTGTAGCTTGTAGGGGAGAAAAGAGCCAAGGGAATGTTCTTATAGCACTGAGACCTATGGGCACCTGAGGGAAAGCTCTTCCTCTGAGCTGGGAGAAAAGGAAGAGAAGATTGGTTAAAACTGAGACCTTCGGACAGTTGGTTGGGCAGGTGGAAAGAGTGTTAGGAAGGAGTGGTCATTTACTCTGAGAGGAGTTTGTAGAATTAGTTTAGAACAGTCTCTGTCTCTCTCCCTCTCCTTTCCTTTCTCTCTAAAAATCAATAAAATATATTTGGGAGAAAAAAGAAAGCAGAGAGGACAAGCATGACTAGTTAATAATGTTGAAGTTTCACTATTGACAGAGGAGAAGATTTTGAGAGAGGACATGGAAGTTGTTATCAGGAGTGGGAGTTGAAACATACTGAACTTGGCAATGGAGCTGATCTAGATAATGAAGTTAAGATGTAGCTGAGTGGGAAGTCAGACCTTAGGAATCAAGAAGGCTGAGCTCAGAGATTTGGATATTTTATGAGCAGGATCTTGAGACATCCAATATGATGACCAATATGATCACAGGATAAAAGACAAAGACCAAGGAGAAGAAATAGCTGAGGAATGGGGTAGAGTGTCTTAAAAGCCATGGAGATGGGGATTAGATCAACTCTGGTGTTTCAGAATTCATCATTTTTGCCTTCAGCCATATTTCTCATGTTGGGGCAAGGAAGAAATTCTTCATTAATGAGTGAAGTCATATTGTGGTTTTTCTTGCTTTTCCTGTTGTTTCAGAGAAGGTCTGAAATAAAGAATGCAAAATAATGAGGAAAAACCTCTATAGATAAAAGCTTAATTGCATTTCCACAAAGATTCTATAAAAGTAATCAATAACACACAAATCTAAATATTGGAGTGATTAATCAACACTTTTAGTCACATGATGTTAGTGCAACTGAAGAATTAGCTGGTAGCAGATCTTGTATAAAGATCTTGTAGAATTTGTGTTTTAAAAATTAGTGATTCGTTTTAGAAGTAGGATATTTTAAGAATATATACTAGGAAATTGTAAAGGAGTTCTATAATTCATTATAAAGCCTATGTTTTTCAGTGATAAATCATGACTTATATGATTTAATTTGACCAAAACCTAAGTATATTAGAACGGTGACAAAACAAAAATAAAAGCTCAAGAAGATGAAAGAGGACACTTAACAGTTTAAACAAATTCTCATGTCACCAATGAGTTACCATAATTAGATAATATATCATCTGGGTGACCTAAAAAGGCAATTTGCCAAAAAAAAGAGACCAAAGAAATATTGACCTTTTTAAAGAAATGGAACCTTTTAGCTTTATATTAACTGAGTTTCTTAAAAAAAAAAAAAATTCTGCTAAAGCCAACTAAAAATGCCTAGTTTTAACACAACAAAAAAGTGAATCAGATAAACTAATAGGAAAATAATTTGTTTCAGATACCAACATACCAACAGAACCACC